CACAGTGTATTCTCACTCTCTGACACAACTCCCAACAACCAATCACAAGATAGAACCTGCGAAGATCCCAATTGCAGAAGACACACAGTGTATTCTCACTCTCTGACACAACTCCCAACAACCAGTCACAAGATAGAACCTGCGAAGATCACAATTGGAATTCACACTGATGATGAACCACTCAAACAATTATCGTAACAGAGTTTGTTCCAGTATCTCGCCTCTCTCAGAACTCACACCCCGCTCTCTATCCTACACCCAGTTAGTAGCGCCACATCAGAACAGCCTCCTTGAGGCCAGCGCCAACCACCCTGATGAAGAACAGGTCCTGCGATGAAGTCTTCAATGTCGATGGACAACTCTGACGAAGGAACAGGCAGCTATGGCTGCCACCACCCACGAACACACACGATAGAGCCTCGATACAGCCCGGCCATACGCAGATACCCCCAGGGGTAGGTGCACTGAGGATGCCCCAGCTATGGCAGACTCAGAGAGGGCCAGCTATGGCTGCTGTCATGGTGCGTCTCAGGATGCTGCCTGCAGACAGCCACCGCCACCAACTTGCTTGGCTTCTCCAACGCTGCTTCGCGAGAAATGAACTGCCAAAAGTCCTGAACCGATGGGCCTAACCTATCTATAGACTACCTAGACCTAGACCGGACTGACTGACCGACCGGTACCGTTGCTGTTTTGGCCTCCTGGTCTCTACCGGACCCGGCTATAGGCTATAGGACCGTCTAGCAGTATAGGCCGCTTAGGGCCTGTCTGTCCTAGCGGTAGCCCGGGCCTGCTATAGGCAGTTAGGGTAGCTGTAGGAATTCGGGTTCGTACTGGGCCCGTATTTTCCCAGATTTACAGATATGTCCCTCACGAATTTCCTTGCATGCAGGTCTCTCGGTTAGCCCTCAGCCAAATAAAATTACGAATCTAACCCTACAGGTTAGTGTACAGCATCGCAGTCAATCTCGGCAGTAGAATTCGGCAAGTCATTGCAACCTTGGTGGGCGCTGCATCTGGAAGGCCCCAGCAGCCATAGCTGTTTTGTGTTGTCCTTTGCACAGCAGGGCAATGCCCTGCTAGGCCGCCATAGCCTCGGCCTTGGAGGAAGGAGGACGAAGGGTGGCCATGGCTATGGCGGACCTCATGCAGTAGAAGAGGGATTTGGACATTGATTCTGGTTCAGCCATTCAACATTATATTATTATTATTTCTTGTTTGAATAGGAGGGGAGGAGATAAGGAGGAGAGTGGTTGGCGAAGAAGGAGGGGATCATCATTTGTCTGTACATCATCTTCTTCTTCTTTCTTTACTCTTTTTCTTCTTCTTTCCCTCTCTCTCCTCTCAAGTTCATTCATTTCTTTTTGCGATTGGACGGCAGTGTACTTTCTCATGAATGTGTACTTGGAAATTGGCCAGGATCATAAAACAGTGGATGAGAACCTTCCCTTTGACATCATCCTAGGTATGGATTGGGGTAAAGAGGCGCATACAGCCATTGGTATGGAGAGGAAAGTCTGCGAAATCCCAGGTAGACAAGGAGTTATGAAACCAATCCGCCTATATCATGGGTCTGGACAGAACAACCCACTGGCAGTGTGCTTGCATGAGTGCACCTGACTTCTCTAGTTACGTGGTAAAACAGAAGTTGACTGAGCAAGTGTTAATGGCCCTAGTGAAGCCCGTACGAGCAAAAGAAAAGAAGGGAGAGCAAACTGACCTAGCAGCAAAGAGAAACTGGCACCCGAGTCAAAGACCTGTTGAAACCACCTACGGGCACAACGGAGGGAGATCAAGCACCTGTTCGGCACCTAGAGCACCCCTTTATCAGATGTTTCCGGCTGAGTTGGAGCTGTACAAGCAGGTTGATAAGTTACTACGGAAGGGGTGGATCAAGCCAAGCTGTGCACAAGAAAGAGCGCAAATTATGACTGTGCATAGACTATAGGGGCCTGAAAACCATGATTATGAGGAAACGCACAGCCGTAACCAAGGATGCATAACTTATTGCACAGACTGCAGGGATGTAGATATTTTTTTACCATTTACCTGAACTCCTCATTTGTTGTGATCCCATTCGGACCAACAAATGCCCTTACTACGTTCCAACACTACATGAATAATATGCTCAGAGAATGGCTTCACAGATTCTTTGTTGTATACTTAAATGGTTCCGGTATTTAGCAAATCACTAGTGGACCATGTAAAGCATTTGTAGAAAATCTTGTTGAAGCTGAGTGGGAACAGCAGAGATGGACATGAAATACGGAGGACAAGAAGATAGCAACAATCAGAGACCGGTCGAGGCCCAATGACCTTACCAAACTACAGTCATTCCTGGGATTAGCTATAACTACTACACGAAGTTTGTACATGACTTTAGTAATGGTCGCAGCCCCACCCGTAGACTGTAAGTTGGAGAACAAAGCCAGTGTGGGGATGGGACAAAAACTGTACACCTCGTCCTTCCGGACATTTGCAAGGAGCATGAATATGGACGAAGCACAGAAATCCAGAACGCAAAATCACACTGAAGTCCAAGTAGTCAAAGCCAAAGCAGATAGCACAATGGAACCGAGTAACCATCCAATTGAGAATGATACAGAAGAATCGTGAGTCAATGATACAGAAGAATCGTGAGTCAATGTCCATGCCCAACAGGGCAACACCAACAGCATAACCCAATGTAGCTCTCTTATGAATGGCGCCAGGCGCCCTATCTACTCTACAGCCTAGCCTACAACTACAGCAATGAAAGCAACCAGACAACTTGACTACCAGCAAGTGATAATGTCAACACCAATGCCGACCTCCACCTCCACCAGGTACGTGTCCTCTTCACCCACACTCTCCCTTGTACTCACACAGCGCCCTTCACCCCCGAAGAACCACTTCGCCCTTCACCCCTCTGCGCACACAGGCAGCCCGGCTATGGCCGCCAGCGCCCTACCGCCTAGCGCTGTCCTGCTTCCCTCAGCCTTAGCGCAGCGCAGCATGCATGCAACGCAGCAGCGTGCCGGCCTTGCTCGCAATGGCCAAGATCCCTGCCCACTCGCCCTGCTTGCCTATATGCCAGTGCAGCGTGTGGGCGGCCTCCCTTCAGCCTGCGACCGGGCCCCAGAGGCTGAACCCAGTCCGATACAGTTGGGGCCCGGGGGATGCAGTTGCACCTCTTTCGTCAAGGCCTGCGGCCAGATTCAGATAGTGGGCCGATTTCCCTTTGGCATTTTCGGCCTCTATACCCAGCATGCATTGTCGGCCTCACGTTCAAGTACCCAGGGCCTAACTAACTCAGAGGCCCTGGGTTTTCAGCATTTGCTGAAATCCGAGACTCGGTGCACTCCAACCAACTGGCGTGCTGCAACTGTATGGACCCCACTTCGTGAAATGTTGGCACAGAGGGCTCTTGTTGATTTTCTGGCCCCCCGAGGCTTGCTGGGGCCTTAGCCCAGAACATGTACATCATGCCAAGGCCCCTACTTGAGGGCTCAATCCTCACACATTGAAGAAGATGTTGATTGAATACCCAGTACTGAAGACCGCAGACCCATCCCTACCATTTGTAGTTAAGACATGCGATAGGCGCTGTGTTACAACATGCGGTCGGGGGACAGCGGTCGGGGGAGGGGGTGCCGGGGGAAGGCAGGGCACACAAAGCAGGTCAGAGGACAGCGGAAGCATGTGCCTGGGGAAGGAAGGGACAGGCGCCAAGTTTGGAGGGGGTGTGGGATAGACATGCAAGGGGGGAGGAACACAAATGGGAGGACCGCACGATGGGCAGGCAAGCGGGCTGGGAGGGAGCATGTGTGGGAAAGAGGAATGAGCAAGCAGGGTAAGGTAGGGCACAATTCGTGGAAAAGAGAGACAGAGGGGATTGACCATGCACTGGGAAGAGGAGGGATGGACATGATGTGTAGTAGATCACAACGGGCAGCCAACGGGACTGAGGGATGTTCCTGAAGTAGAGAGGGGCACAATGGGCATATGAACTGGCCGGGGGAGAGCAGGCATAGGGGTGGAGCAAAAAAGTGCGCAGAGGGCGGACATCTCCCGGCTTAGGATTCGAATGCAGGAGAGATTCTTGTTATTAAGGCTTGTCATATCTGGCCCTTCTCTTTCTTCCCTATGTCTCCGTCCTCCTCTTCCTTTACGTCTTCCTCATCCCCTCATCATCCATGGCTCTTCCCCATGATCGTGCATAAGCAAGGAGTCCTTTCATGTAGTCCTGTTTTCTGTGAGTTGGATTGGTTGACTCAGACTCTGCTGCATTGTATTGTTGTTTCTGGTGATGAATGGGTCCACCGTTATGCTTCCAACACAGGGCACTAAGTATGTGATTGTGCCTCAGAGAGCACAAGGAGGAGGAGGAGAATGAGGAGAAGGAGGATGAGATGGAGCAAAAGAAGAGGGTGTGCAAACCTATCTGCAGTGCATGTGCACAAGATTGCAGGACTACAAACAGCAATGCACAATCACGACAATGGCCAAAAACAGCCACGAAATAGCCACCAGTGGCTGCATGGCTTTCAAGCTTTCAACATCCACTCATGTGGAAAAAACATGGAGTCCAAATCAGGGCCATTCATTTAAAAAGATCAATGTTCCCATCCTTTTTTGTGATCTTTGGCCATGGAGGTCATATAATGGCTATCACACCCCAACACAGATCAGAAGGACTTCTCCTGTCAGATCCTGAAATCAATCATCTAAAAGCAAGGTTCATGCCATCAACAAGCATGGCCCTTGCCAACCCACTGCCCACTGGGCCTATTAAACCCATACTCTCACTGCAAGGCCAGCTCACAGTGAGCGGAAACTACTGCACATGCAAAATCAATTGCAATGACTTGTTCCAGATCATTGAGCACCTCCACAAACAAGAGGGAGCAGTTTTGTCACCTCCACTGTCACATCCATCAATCATAGAGTGTAACAATACTTAAAGAGCGCCTGACATATCAGAACACAGGGACCACAAGACAGTACGAGGATGGGCTTACCTCAAAACTGAACCTCGAAAACAACCGGACAGTATATCTGGAACATCCAGCACCAGAGTAAGCCATGTATTTCGCTTCACCTGAGTTACACCAACAAAGCGAGGATAAGGCAAACTGAGCAGAAGGAACCACAATGAACAACACTGCCAGCCTACGCATGCACAACTGCATTAGAATCGCATTATCGAAGAAGTTTTGAACAGAGGCAATCAGCAGTGCGTAAGGAACTTTGAAAGGGAACAGCAGTACAGCCCGATGCAATGCCTACAAACTAGTGTTTCTCAGTGATGAGAAAAAGGAAATAAAACAGATGGGTGCAGGGATAACTGCAATGGAACTTGTGGCAGACTACTTATGCCCATAGAGGTCCACAAAGCGATGGCAGCTGGGGCTGATCCACTACCACTATGCAATTACTCGTCACATCGTCCAAATCAACAGGCAGAAGAAATGAAGAATGAAAAGCTAAAACATGTGAATGGTGAAGGGGGAAACAAAGACCTCGATAATTGTGCTGAATAATACACACCTTTGAAGGTTTGAACTCTAAAACAGGCTCACTCCCAACCAATCAGCTATGGATGATGTGTTACTGGCACTCAATGGCTATTTAGTATTTACCCTCCTCAAAGAGTCCTCAGAATAACAAAATCAGAACAATGGGAGACACGCCAAGAAGAAGCCCTCAGACAAGAACGGAATCTTACGGACATACAGAAGGCAGAAGTATTCAGAAATGGGAAGCAGATAGTGAACATCCAAGACTACAAATGGAACCTAAGATGCGCTAAGGTCCGAGTCCGGTTCAAATTATGCATCAGTAAAGATCTTAGAACCCACTTCAAACACTTTCACTCGCAAACACAAGGTGAGATGAAATCTAAAGCCAAGAGAGAATTAGAGATATCTTGCAGTCAACTTCACAAGCCCAGTTCTCCTACAGCCAAGTGCTGTCTCCTGCCTCCACAGAGGTCGAACAAGTTCATTGACGACCAGCTGGGCGGTTATGGCGGGCAGCCCCGATAATTGGGATCGGCAACCCTCAGGTGTCTCTCTCTCTACCTCTCTGAATGTCTTCTCTCTCCTAGCTATGGTACATCAACTACAGCTATGGCACCCAGCACTTGCTGACTTCTCTTTCTCGAACAACTGCAGTCCTCACTTGATCACCATTGGCGCACCAGCAGTTATACAGAAAGCACGAGCAGAATTGTTGACTGCAGAAACAGGTGCTGTCCTCCTGTATGAAACAATTCGACTTCCAGCCTTTGGACTTGCAGATCCAGTTGACCAATGTGGCATACTGAGCCACACGGGCCCCTGTTAGGGCCCGGTTCCTAGTAGGCAGGGTAGGCCTAGGGGGACGACGGTTCAGACCAGGCCCAGATAGGCCTAAGGCAGGGCACGTTTAGGCCCAACCAGCCAGAGGCCGGTACCGGTCCAGCCCAGGACCAACCGGCCGCGGTTCAGAGGCTGCCACATTTTGGCGCCAAACCCAGTTTGATTCTGGACCGTCGATTCAAATCAACAGTCCAGGCCTCCAGGTACCAGTAGGCAAGAGGACGGCCCAGCACTACAAAAAGGCTGGGTACCAGCCTCAGTCTGGTAAGTTAGAATGAACGAGAGTTAGCCTTCAGGATTAGTGCAGCTTCGCAGCGTTAAGGAGATAAGCGCATCAGCGTTAGCGAGAGAGCCAGGAGACAGCGAGCGCAGCAGCGAGAGGAACAGCGCAGCGGCCCTGACGCGCCATAGCTACCAGTCAGGTACCGGGAGGAAGGCTCTGCCTTCTCTCCCTCTGTTCCTCCGCCCCAGCTCTCTCTCTCTCTCTCTCTCTCTCTCTCTCTCTCTCTCTCTCTCTCTCTCTCTCTCTCTCTC